AATGAAAAAAAATCTAGGAGTCCTCGAAATATCTGAAAAAGACGTATTCGCGAAAAATAATCTTCAATGATCCTTTTTGATGAAAATGAATGAATGTTGCTTTCATATACCTCAAATGGAAGGTACTCGATTAAAAAGACCTTTAAGAGTCTTTCCCCGCTGATTTCAAACGAGAAATCTTTGAAATACCTGACATTTTTCATCGTGAGCTCGGGGTCTCTCAGTGTGTACTATGGTTTAGTGGATGATTTTGAAGCAGTGCGTGAGGTTATTAGGGATTGGTGAAGCTGGCTGGTATTTTAGTTAATTGGTGGTGGGACTATGATTGATGGCTATTTGTGGGGTGTCAGGAAATATGCGCGAGATCTCAGGAAGATTAGAACTTCCGCGGTTTTCCCAGGTGGAACCGGTCGGATTTCTTTAGTTCCTTCGCGTATTCCGATGGTATTCCGTGTGATCACGGGGCGGTTCCGGCAATTTTTCCTAACGGTTACGATGGTGGGAATAGTGCGGAATGCTCCGGTTACAATACGGTGATTTCCAAACGGAATACTGCTTCCACCTTCCGGATAGTTTTCTGGTCCGTTTCCGGTTGGAATGTCGTTGGAAATCAACGGAAGTATCGGAAAATAACCCCGTTTCCCACCGTTTCCGGTCGATTCCAGAATCCGGAATCATCGATCTGGGATACAAACGAAATTAAGGAAGTATTTATTGCTTTCTTTTCTTCAATAAAAACAATTATTAATTACTTCACCGTAACAAAGGCAGACGAGCTATTGGTTCCTTGGATTATCAACTACACATAGAGAAAGATTTTCTAGATGTCAGTAATGAATGAGTCGATAAGTTTGTCTAAAATATAGAATTTTTTACACATCGTTTCTGGTCAATTATTTTGGTGTTTTTTTTAACTTCTCCGCTCGAAAATCATTTTAATGAAGCTGTTATATACAGTTCAACCATAGCCATGCTTCTTATGTAATTTCTTTCTACGGCAGTAAGTCGCTAATTCGAAAATCATTACGAAGTGTAATTGTAAAACGTTTTCACAAATCAATAAATAACAATAAAGTAGACGAAAATTCTTTTTGCATTATTGTACACATTCGACATCTTTTAGATCACGACAATCAATATATTAAAATGAACATAAAATAATCTAACTTAATTCGATGTGTACGTATATGAATATGTTTATCATAGAATTATAAACTATTTATTCATTGAAAACAATTTCATTAAATCTCATCTACAAACTAAAAACCTATTTTTTGAACGTGAACAATTGAACTAATTCGATATACTTGAATATGCTATTATTTTGTTTCTTCAAAGATTACACTACCTTTTGTGAAAATGACACTAGCAATTGTTCAATTTACTTCGATATTATGAAAGTCATTCCTTGTCCAATACAATTAATTGCGAATATTATTATAAGATAAAATGAATGAACGAGAACAAATCTTCAAAGATTACTTTTAGAGTATATTCAAAATAATAATCTTGAATAAAAATTTCCACTTGAACTTACGAAGAATTGATCATGTAATGTAGCATATCTAACATGTCATCTCCATTGTCATTGTTAATATAATTGATCTTTTTCATATTTTTAGAATTTAGAACTTTTTCGTAGATTTTTCTCAATTTATTTTTATTTAGTTTTCGGAATTATTTTTACATTTTTTCAATAATTTACAGATGTTAGTTTAATTTTTTATAGTTTATTTTTAGTTGTTTACAATAATCTTAATAGATTCATGTAAATGACAAATAATTCTCAATTAAAAAAAATTAATTCCTTATAATAGATTACAAATGATTCAATTAAAAATTGATTGATTTTTATTGTTTTTTAAGTTGAAATTGATCAATCAGTTTATCATCTTCTGTATGATAATAACTAAATGTCAAATGAGTTTTATTAACATTTATATGAGTATATCCGAAGTATATATCATGATAAACACTCCAGTCTACATTAGAATAAGAACCATACGTTAAATCATGTCCACCCATGCCAATTAATACTTGTGTTATTCCATCATCTATACATTTATGTTGATACATTGGACATGTTCGTTCATATGAATGAATATGTCCATATAGATTTAGATCAACATGATATTTGTAGAGAAGAGGTTCAATATAAAGCTGCAACATTATTTGAATTAAATCTATTCCAATTAATGATGAATACATTGGTCGATGTGAAGTAACAATTAACCATGGGGTACGAATACGATCAATTGAACGAAGATCTTGTTCAAGCCATTTATATTGTGGCGATGATCGACGAAAGTCATGTTCAGTTGAATAATAAACTACATGAACTGGTTCTATATCAAAACGATACCAAAAAGACTGTTGCCATTCGATGGAGAATGAAAACGATTCGCCATAGGAACAGCACATTCGCCACCAGAATCATAACCGTAATTACCCCTATAAGATGAAGATAAAATATATTCTTAATCATGAAAATATTTTCCGATTGAAAATGAAGATCAGTATTGTTTTATTATTTCATCATAATATTACAATAGATAAAGAAAATAAATTATATGAATTATGAAAATAATCTAATACTAACCATATAGGTCTAAATCCACCATCACCTGGTGCTTGACTAGGATCTTTATTTCCTCCAGTAACATGATCATATTCATGATTTCCAATTCCAATCATATATGAAACACGAGATGTTGTTGGTTCAATTTGACTCATAATGCATCCCATAATGCACCGATACCGCTTGCATAACTAATATCACCGATGTGTAATATAACCGTTACATTGTTTGATGGAACTCTTGCTAATACTCGATCAATAGTCGCTTTTGCACCTGATTGAATAGGTGATACACCCATATCAGCATAAGCAATAAGATTTATCTCATCGTCAATACTTGATGGACGATTTATAAATTTATGTATAGACGACCAGCCATGTTCATTGTCGCCTACTCGATAAAAATAAATAGTCGATGGATGCAAATCGTTCAGAAGAATTGTATGCATATATCCTGGATTAATAAATGCTTGTGGACCTGTTTATATTAACTTTTCCTTCACACATATCTGATGCTTGGTAAGTATTGCTAGTTCCATTCATTTGAAAAATGAGTGTTGATAGCTCCAAACCATATTGACATTGAGGAATTGTTTGATTTGAATTAGTTACATATGAAACATACATTTGATCATTTCGATCACCAAAAGCTAAATGAATTTGTGTTGGTTCATTGTAATTAACTGGTTCAACAATAGGAGATTTTGCTATAAATGTATAATTGCCAGAACAATTTCTCTCACGTGAATAATAACGAAATTCTAATTGCCGACGTAAATTGATCATTAACCATGTTGAATTATCTTGACCAGATTTTACAAATTCATAATCAACATAATCACAAGCACCTTAAAACATATCAATTTGTAAAAACAGAAAAGGAAAAGTTTTATATTTTATTAATTCATAAAAATATTTATTTTACCTGTTTCAACTGGAACTTCTACAAAATAAACTCCAATAAAATCATCTGCGCATGGATTTAACGATGGTATCCAGAATACATAAATTTCATCACTATTAGAATAATGTGTTGATGAAACGTTTAGATCAGTTATTTCTGTAGATATTGAACGTATCAAATAAGAAACAATACCAACACTTCGATTACAATTGAATGGACTTGGTATTTCAGATTTTAAATGAGCTTTACCAAATGGACCATTTACATGGAAATCTTCTTCACTTCGAATAGCAAAAATAAGAAGAAAAACGTGCACTATCTGATAAAACAACATCATAGTATAACTTCGAGTCTTTCTCGTCTCATCTCAACAACAGACATAATAAACAAAAATACTGATAACTTATCTTCTTTTAGAGAAAACACTAGATGCATATATAGATGAGTTCTTAAGCATTTGAATGTTACTCTATGAAGAATCAATTTTTATTTTAAAAAGTTATTTAATCTATAGTTTGAAAAAACTATTTCGAAATAATAAACTATGAAACAAGTTGAAAAGATTTTATTTTAAAAATTAACTAGACATATCACCACTAAATGTAACTCTTACATGCAATTCTTTTCGGAACAAAAGTTACCAGCGAACCAACTGTGTTCGAATATTTATGAAAGAAACGTCATTTTAGTACAAAAGAATGTGGGTGTTCATGGATGTAGGAATGATACTTTTCCCCATCTAGCCTCATCCCCACCCCACACCCTCAAGTTTGAAGGTTACTTGAGTTACTTGACTATAGTGATAAAAGTGCATTTTAACGACAGGCTCAAAATTTCTGCTATACCAACGTCAAAGAACGAACTTTGATAACTATAGTTGCCTAATGAAAAATGTTCGTTCATCAATCGGATTGGTGGATTTTATCTATTGTGTTTCAGTGAAAATAACCAAAATCTTATTGAGATTTTGATCATGGTGCACTACAACTCGATTAATATTCAAACATTTTTCACTGGGTAGTTAAACAGCGGATTTAGAAAATTTCGAATTATCATACATGGAATACTGCTTTTTAAAAGGATGTTCATGTATCCGTTCTCGAAGAGGTGCCGTTTTATTTTTACATATGAGACGCAAATTTCAGCATTTAAAGTAATTAACTTCGAAAATTTACGCTGTGTACATTGATATAGTATACAATTCATTAAGTTTTATTTGATTTCTAATTATTCTCTTAGTTGAAAACTGAAAATTATTGATAAGACACTTCATATTTACTATATCGATTTGATAATGGATGAAATATATTTAGTGAGACCTAAAATATGCCTTGAAAATAGTAGTTCTCATGTTATTCATATAAGAAAAAAGAAACTTTAAATAAGCTTTTATCACGAAGCAAAAAAAGTCGAACGAACCGCAATCGAGATAATTATTTCAATTTATGATCGTAGTTTTATTTCTTCAAGTATTGTTTAGAGTAAAAATATTTGCCATTCGATCTTGCAAGTCATATCAGTTTACTGGCAACGTATAAACTATGTCAGATTAAGAAGAAAATTTTGTTAGCGTTTTTTTCTAAAATAAATTACATATTCTGTATTCATATTTTTATACATTTTTAGCAACGGAATTTAGTGAAATGTGTCCCAATATTAGTATACATAGATGTATTTTACGCACAGAACAATGATGAAGTATAAACTATAAAAAAAATGGATAGACTTCAAGACTACCTGAATATTACATTTACAAAAAAACTTCTTGAGTTTTATTTTATTCTCTTTTGAGATAATGATCATTTCATATGAAATTATTTCTTTCGAAGAATATTCCATGAATTAATATCATCAACATAAGTGAGAGACGTTTATTGCGAAGATACATTCGTTCAAAAAGAAAAAAAGAGCTTTTCTATTCAAATATAGATGATAGTTTGTTGGAAGTTTAAAAAATTTTACCTTATTCTGATAAAATAAATTTAAATATCGAAAGTCGAAAATCATTTAGACGTTATTTGATAATTCAATACGGAATAAAAGATGACCAATAAAATATTTTTTGACATGAATGCAAATAATTAGTTTAATGATTTATTTATTTGTGGAGAACTTGAAGTATAAATAGGTAAACGAGTTAAAAGAATGTTAAATAATAATTTGAAATAATAAACATGCAATGGATGTTTTTAGAATGTTTTGTAAAGAATTATACGGGCTACTTTTTCAAAAACAAATGCAAGTATATCCGCCACGATTTGAAAGAGATATTTGCAAAATACTGGGAAGTTTATTTGTTGTGCTGCACTCGTTAGAATTTGCTGATTTGTTAATTTTTTTGCTATTACCATCTGAAACAAAAGATCAAAGAGTTGGCATGAAAATCAATGGCTTTTGATACACTAATTAACATGATATTTATCTGAGAAGTATCAAATCAATTTTTTTAAATAAATAAGTTCAAGTTATCAAACAGTAACATTATCGAAAATGATCACCAACACGAAAATAAGGAAGAAACGATCAGTCAAATAACATAGAATTGGGGTGAGAAAGTTATTGTTATTATAACACTAACTTTTTGCTTCAAAAAAAATCAGCGACACAAATCTAAGCATTTTTGTACGAACTTCAAAGGATGACTCTATTCACATAGTATCTTTTCCTATCATTGATGTAAGAACTAGTCATAAATATTCTGAGAAATAGTAAAATAACTATTTTTGTTATTGTTATTGCTGATAACAATAGCAAAAAAAGTTATTTTACTATTTCTCAAAAGACTTACAATTACTTCTTATATCTACGACAGGAAAAGATACTATGTGAACAAAGTCATCATTTGACATTCGTATAAAAATGCTTAGATTTGTGTCACTGAGTTTTTTGAAGCAAAAAGTTAGTGTTATTGTTACAATAACAAACAAAAATAACAATAACTTTCTCACCCCTAACATAGAAACAGAAAATGTTCAAAGCGCAGTTTCATGTTCGATGAGAACAGCTGTTTCTATAAAGAGAAAAGGCTTCAGCAATTTTAAAGTTGAAAAAATGTGATAAGCATACGATTTTCATCAACAGGGTGTGGGTGCGGGTGTGTAACCTAAAATTAAATAAATACTCGAGATATGTGTGAATTTAAATAAAAATTTCAACGAATCAAGATTAATTTTCTAAGAAGCAGTGTCTTAAATTCAGTTTATTTTCGTATTACATAAAAAAAAAGTTTTATGCATCATAGAAACATCTCAAAGTCCTCAGACAATCAAGAAAAGTAACTTGAAAGTGTAGCTATTAACCTGTGATGGGCGAAATGCAAGTGGTCGGCATTTGGCCAGTGTTGTTTGCATTTGAACTGGAAAATGGCCAAATGCCCATGGTCCAAAATACCAAACTGCAGCACCGAGTAGCACCAAGGAGGGTGTCAAAATCCAACAAGTTAATCTTGTCGCGGGACTTTCACTGGATATAGCAGTGAACAATGTTGGAACACCGATCACTGTGGAAATGAAGCTGCCGCACCATGGTGAAGCTTGTTGAGCTAAAATCATACGTCAACATGAGATTTAGGAGTTGAATTCTTCTTCTAAACTACAGTTGTTTTCGATTCAGATTTTTAAATTATCATATATATCCTGCTATTAAAAACGTTTTGGCGACAGCTTCTACCTGTTTTTCAGCATACGTGACTAGCATAAATACTTGATCCATCGTATGAAGAAACTTTTACAGTTTTACAGCAGAAAGAGAAAAGATCAGATATTCAAAAAATCAGTTCAACAAGACTTTGATAATCAGTATTGTTTTCTTCACATGGGTTGCGTGGCTATTTAACTTCTGCTTGAGCATCCAACAAAGTGTAAAGCATCAACTACAATTTCCTATGACAAGCATACTTAGGTCGATTTCTATGGAATGAACAATAGTCATTTTATTTGATGGAAAAAATTAAGAGCATTTATTGAAAACAATAGCATTTTAAAGCTTAAAACATTGAACATCAACAATAGTAAGTGACAAGTACAAGAAATAACTTTTTTTTATTGAAAAAAAATATACACTGCAACCAATAACAAGCTAAGCTACCATACAAACTTTATATAATATACGCTAATCTTTCTTTTGATTAGCAAAAGTATATTGCCGCCAGCTGGTGAGTTTATCCCAAACAGAACCTATTAATGAATATAAGATGAGCAAAAGATTATAAATTGTTTCAGATGAGTGGGGAGCATGTTTTTCACGTTCACACTATTTATTTTATAAGTAAATGATTTTCATTTCTCCTCAATTAATTAGTTGCGTTGTGTGATCTAAAATTTTCTTCTAAAAGACTTCTAACTAATGGTGCATAATAAATGGAACAAACATTTCCCTCTTTGTTGGATACTTCCCAATATAATGACGATCCTGCTGTAGGCTCATTCAATAGAGAAGGTTTCGCTCTACAAAACTGCCAATTTTCTTTTTTCAAATACGTTTTTATTATCGGCAAAAAATTGACAGTTACTCATCCGTCTAACTACGGCTGTCTGATGACAAAGATTTAAGAAAATATTTTTAATTAAGTTCTATCGAAATCTGAAATATACTGCAGGATATTGGGTAAAATTCTGTACCTCGCGATGTTTCGAAATTCAAGAAAAAACATTTGAAAGAACTATTTCTCAGTAAAGATTAGAAAAAATAAAACAGACCCTTTTCTGCCAGACCTATGCAATGGCTCAGGGCAATCTAAAGATTATCGTCGTTCGATTTAAATGTAACATCATTTTGTTAAGGATTAAATTCTACATTCAATATTACAATAATACAGTGTTCATAGAGCATATCCGACTTTTACAAGGCGAACTTTGAAAGTGCGTTCAAAACCAAATCCCGTCGAATGTTACTTTCAAACCATTTGCATTTGAACGACAACGTTGGGAGCCTTGAGAAGATCTTCGAAGCATAGAGGTGAAAATTCTCTATCTGTTGTTGACGCACACTTTACATTTTTCATCTAACTTGGTAGGCATAAACTTACAGAAATCGATAGACATCAAAAGAAAATAGTAGGAAATCACAGTTCGACGGATGAGTGGCTACCATTCTTTTAAAACTTTTTGTCGATAAGAAAAACTTTTTTGAAAAGCAAAGTCGACAGTTTTGTAGAGTAAAACATTCTCTATAGAGTGAGCCTAAACAGGATCGTCAACGTCTCGGAAACCATCTTGCAAAGAGGGAAATATTTTGTCCCGTTCATTATGCGCCACCCATTATATTTATTACAGGATTTTATATAATTTCGACCCATTCTCTCAAACAACAGATTTACTTTTGATTATTTTTTGAAACTGAATAAATCAAACATAAATATCTCTAAGCTATTTTATTCAAATAAAAATAAAGAGAACCGTCAGTGAGTTCAATATTCTTCAAATACAAGTCTATACAAGTCTTTTCATTCAACTTTTTATAGTTTTTCTGTAATTGCGATGGCAATAATAACAACAAACTAACAATAAAAAAGTATTTTCATGAATTATATAATAGTCTTCTAGTTCTTGTCACAGTTTACTCCTTATATAAACACAAATAACGCTGTTCAACAAGTCATCATCTCAAAAAATTAGATATTATGTTCTTTCAATGCTTCGAGAGGAATTCTACCAAACATGAAAATCCTATACTAAAAACAGTCTATATTTATAATATAGAAAATAGTATATGCCCCGGAATACTTTTCTATTTTCATATATTGAAAATATATAAAAGAATATTTTTATTTCTAACTTTTTTGTCTTCACTGTTTAGCAATGAATTTTAGATCATGTACTAATGAATGTCATCACAAATAAAAATTTTCTTTAGTATGCAGTCAATTTGAATTATATTGGGTTTATCAAGATTGAACAATATCAATAATGTAAATAATCTGTGGCTATGAAATATCTGTTGTAATCTTGCTATATGATCTTATATGATCATACAAAACCATAATATTCGCTCATATGTGAACCTTAGTGCAAGATCTAATGTAAAATTGTAGAGACGACGATTTTCCATATGATCATATATGATTAGGCACGATATTACTACAATATCTGATAGTAACTTGTAAAAATCTGTGACTGATCTTAGCATCTGATTGTTAGATCTGGGTATAATTATTTTGATTGCATTTTTTAACTGATGTATGTCGATATAGGAAAAGGCAGATCGAAAAAACCTCCAGTTCTCTTTCTACATTGAACCTTTGCTCATTTACAACATCAAATATATACATACCAAAACGATTTAGATCTTCAGTTACGAATCTATCGAGCCATTCTAAAAGTTCAATATCAGATGCTAAGAAAACAAAGTAAAATAATTAGATTCATAAAAAGGATAAAAAAATAATTACTGACGTGCGAGTGCAAGTGCATCATTAATATCAATTTTTGCTTGTTCGTAATGATTCAATTTATAATGTGATTCACTTCGTTGTTTTAATGCAATAACACATGTTGAATCTTTATCAAGAGCAGATGTAGCTTCCATAATTGCACCTAAAATGAGATAACAAACCATAAAAAATGTAATGCTTAGTATGATTTATGTAATAAAAGTCACAAAAACAAAAACTTTCCCATATCTCTTGTTTTCGTCGAAGTAGAAACCGATACGAATCTAGCTTTTCTTACCGTTTAGTTAACTAGTATATTGAATGACTTCTCCTACTATCCAAGAAAAAAAATCCTATGACTTCCTATTTTCGAATACATTTTGGTAACCATTAAATAGAAAGTCAAGAGTTTCTCGAAATATTTTCTAATGTTCCAGTGGATTTTTTTACTCAAAAACCAGTTTTCAAGTGTTTAATTCTTGAAATTCGCTCGACTTTCCAAAACAAAACAGTCAAAAGCCGATCCTCTTTTTCATTAGGACTTGAATTTTGTTTTCTAGATCACCTTTTATTCCGACTAGTGACAAGTATTATATTTATCTCCTTGTTCCTATATCTTATGCAAATAATATATCTATTAATTGTTATACTATGATATTATCGATATTCCGTATGATGCCTTGCATAATTTTGAACAATCTTGTTCAAGTTTCTTCGAAAAGACATGGAGATACTGCCGGTAACTTCCAAACAGTTCAATCATGAGAATCAAAGGAAATTCAGAGTAGTTTAGAATCTTTCTATGTGCTCGAGTAGCTGTTCGAGGAATTTTTTCTCAGACTCTGAAACTTTCGAAAAACTATTGTGAGGAAAATGAAAATATATTTTTCAAAAGTCACGCACAATTTGTTTTTTCTAGGAATTCAATGAGTAGAATTAGGAATCCTCGGATAAATATTGAGCCAACTAAGATTTTATATTATTAGAGTATTAAGTTTTTAATGTTTGTCTGATTATTTTTTTTCGTAATCTAATTTCATTAGGTTTGACTGGAGAAACATAATTTCTATACGTAACTCGCCTAGTTTCATCCCATTATAACAATAAACCATAAAAAAAATTGATCAAATTTTGTGTTGTTGCTGCCTCAGCTTGATAATGAAAATTCACAATGACAAGCAGTATACTCTTACAGTGGTCAAACTTCTCTTCTCTTGTACGTACACTTCTTTACGTTCAGAAGAATGTTAAACAATGGAACAAACAGGTTCAAACATTACAACTTGCCAAAAAGTCTTTTGAGGTGAACATTTTTTTCTTGTGTTTTACCTGTGCAGACCTCAATATTTCCTCATAGAACATAAATTTCTTGCTTAAGATACCCAAATATTTAATGAGCATAACAACAATGGTGTGACTTGCTCCTATTTTTCTTCTTCATTAGATTCAGATAAGAAACTTACGATCATAATAGTGTAGCTTATTGCTGCATTTTGCCATTGATGCTAAAATGACCGACTTTAAATGTGAATTAATATTATCTTCGTAGATGGTAAGTATATCCCCATAAAGCTAAACAAATATTAACATAAATAGTGTTTCATAAACGTTGAGGAGCGACAGAATTAGGTTGTATACAGGTAAACAATAATCCTTAAGTGAATTTTTTTCAATATCAGCTTTGAGTACGCGTGACAATCTTTCGAATGATATATTATTATTATTAGATAATATATTTTGTTGTGATAGTAAACAATATAAACATAAATCAATTTTTTTTAAGATTTTTAAATAAAATAATGAGCATATTCTGTATAAAAATTACCATACTAGAAACTAATAATTATTTATTTTATTCTTTCATTCGACACTCACCACAAACAACTAATTTCATATTTAGTCAAGCTATGAACTCCGTAACCCGATTGAAATGTATAATATATGAAAATGTGACATGAAAAATGAAAAATAAAGAGGCATAATTGGATATTTGAACTGTTGATAGATTATTTTATAATCAAATTTTACTTGAACATGATAAAGATAAATTTGCTGACGTACGCGACTAACTGAAAATCTAAGCAAAATATTAAAGAAAAAAATACGAAGAGAACAATATTCAAGCTTTAAACAACTGAAAAACTAAATGTTACAAAGAATGAAAGAAATAACTCTTAATAA